GGGGGGGGGGGGGGCGGGAAATAGCTGGGATATTTCATCCAGTGCCGGTTCGGGCGACTGGCAGCATTGCATGATATTCTTCCGAAAACACCTAAGAGACAGCAGTACAGATCAAGAGATGAAAAAAAGAAAACGAAAGTCTCCGAGCGCCATCCACCCATCCACCCATCCACCATACCGTCACTCAAACCTCAAGCATAGATCGAAGGATGAAACACCCTCCCAGGATACCGAGCAGCGACACAAGCAGCAGTCCATTTCCTTCCCTGGTCAGTCCCAGATACGCAACTGCACCCACAACAATCTCCTTTCGTCGCCCCATGTCTCGCTTGGATTTCCAACTCGGATCGATAGAAAATGGAGCTACAGCTCGGATGTTCTTGGTGCTTGAAGATGCGTCAGAGGGCCGCAGCGGCACCGATGCAACTAGCGCAACGGGCCGATGATCTGACTGTGCAAAGAGAGGCAGTGCATCGTAAGCGAGCGGCTGTACCTTTCCACCTTCACCAACCCACGAGGGCTTATCAAGGAAGAGGACTCGATCGCACCAGCTGGGCCAGCGGTGATTCGACCATTTCCATTCATGATCACCAGTGTCCAAGCCCCGGCGGACAGCTTCGCGCGCGGCGTCCGAGTATTTGTACGTGGGAGGGAAATCGATCGGCGCCTCAGAGAGACTGTGACAGGTCCTGCCATAGCTCATCTCGCGCGCGAGTTGGTCGTTCTTCAGCAGGTGGGAATAGTGCGCCGGGTTATCGAGATCGACATTGCGCCGAGGGAACTGTGCAATCTCCTGAATCGAGGGTCCGATATTCGATGTGCGGTAGTTCAGGTCTCCAGCAAGGAATAGGTAGGCGTTCGGCGCGAAGAGATCTCTGCGACTGCCCTCCGCGTGCGCCGAAGCAGCATCGTCGAGAAGGCTGGTGTTTTCGTCCACGCTTGACCTCTCTGCCAGTCTCTTTCTGTCATTGCTGTCGTGTGTGAACACAAGGCGTTCAACAATGCTCTTCCAGTCCATGTTCCTTTGCTCATAGGAATCCTCCATGGGAGCGAGATGGGCCGCGACAAAAGTGATGTCCACGGTCTTGGATGGGTGTCCTTCAACAACATATCCTAGGCGTGCGCCGACAGCGCCCTTGTTTCCCATTTCTTGAACCCCGAGGCCGACGTGGGCTGTGTCGCTCCAGGCGATTTTGCCCAGGGTGTCATCGCGCGCGAAAAGCATCAGACCTGTCATTCCCGTATTGTCGGTGAGGAAGTTCACATAGTGGTGGTCCCATTTTTGCGCCGAGGCTTTCTGGACGGCACGGCGGAATGCATCGAAGTAAGGTAAAAGGAAGGATCCTCCAAGGAACGAGTAGGCAATGGGTGCGATCTCTTGTAGCGAAAGGAAAATCAGGTCGGGTGCGGAGCTCCCCGCACCAGACGCGGGGAGTGCGTCGAAGAAGTGGTTCGCGAACACGTCGACATCGACAAAGTTTCTTGCACAGTTAAAGGTCAGCACATAGACACCGAGGGCGTCCATACTGAAAATTTTGCTCTGGTTCAAGCCAGAGGAGAGGGAAGAGTAGAGGATGGGATGGGGAACCTGAGGCGGTGACGTCACTTGCAGAAGTGACCGCTTTTTCTTGACCGCCTGCCTTTGAGTGCGAAAAGTAAACAGACAAACTCTAATTTGGCTTTTGATCTGAGGAAACACAATCTTACACAGGTTTTGTCCAGAAAAAAGACCATCATTGAGTTCATTGGAATAAAAGCCAAAAAGCAGCAAAAAGTTGTGCATCATCCGTGAATCGAACACGGGCCTCGTCGATGGCAACGACGAATTCTACCACTAGACCAATGATGCTGAGAAACCAAGTGGATCTGAAAGCTGATTCGTTGGTGATATATGGGGCTCATGAATTTGATTTGTAGAGGACTGCCGCCATGCATCGATCTATCTAAGCCCTTTGGTCTATACAACAGAAAATCATAACTTGCCCCAAACTTCCACATTGCTATTGGTTGGCACCAATTCGACCAAAAGCATACCCTCAGCAACATCCTCCTCTTCATCCTCCATCTCATGAACCCATCTGACCCGACCACTTCGAGGGCTTCGTACTTCGAGCTCCATCTTCATCTGCTTGACAAAAGCCAGGACCTGATTTTCAGCAACATCCTCTCCATCTGACACCAGTATCTCGATCAATTTGCCCGAAAGAGGGAGGATGATGTGGTGAGGGTTCTTTGGATCACCTCGCCGATGCGAGGAGGACACCAAT